AATAACAAAAGTCAATAAAATTATGTAATAATAAAAAGTCAGTAATAATAACAAAAGTCAATAAAATTATGTAATAATAAAGAGTCAGTAATAATAACAAAAGTCAATAAAATTATGTAATAATAAAAAGTCAATAAAATTAATCTTATTAATCTAGAAAATTCTGATCCTTCTATACAACCCCCGGGGGGAGAGTGAAAATACCATCGTCGATAGTCTCGGTATCGAACAAACGATACCAATTCAAGCAAAGTCGTGTTTCGCGTTTCTGTACGGCTAGTTGATTGAGTTGATGCCAGAGTTAACAACGACCAACGATCGGACTAACCTTTCGGTGGCTGCATCCCCAGCTTTTTCATGCCCTCGCGGACCTCTTGGAGGTCCGTGTCAGTGACCCTCATGCTATCGGACACGAATTCGTGGCCCGGTGAATCGGCGAACGTGTTGCTATTTTCGGCGGTCATGGTTCCGTTGCTTTCCTGGCCGGTGGTCACTTGAACTGTTCGCAAGACAACACTCACGGCTAAACTAGATGGGTCGGGGGTTAAGGAGGGGCGGGGGCGGGGGGCGGGCGGGGGTTGGTACTGCTTCTAACAGCCCCTAGAAGCTTCTAAAGGCTCTATCTCAGGCTAATGCGCCGTTAATCGCTAATTTTCTAACCGATCGGACTCGCTGATTCGTTGCATCGTGCTGCACGCGTGTCATTTATCGATTTTTTCACTGCTCAGTGAAAAGTTGCTCGGTTTTAGTTTGATCCAACTCTCTAGCTTCTGTCTCTCGAGAAACTGAAACGGGCGAGTCGGGAAGTTTGCCTGGCCGGCTTCAAACCTTGCCACGGTCTTTGAATTTTCACGCTGCGGTATCTGGCGGTTAGTTGCCCGAGAGTTTGCGGGGAAAGATAGCTTATTACGGTGTGTTATAAATGGTTTCGTATTTATAACGCTCGAAGTTATATAAAGTTCAAAACAGCATTCGAACAGAAGTATTCAGGTTTCATTCAAGTATAAAATTTCTACATTTTTGCAGCTGCGCGAAATTAGCCGGAACGCTGAGCGAGGGATTATTACGAATACGTTGGTAAATTGTTTGAACAACTTCGCGAACGAACTGTACACGAAACTCTGATTAATAAACGTACAAATACTACTTCTTGCAGCCATCGCGCGCGCGCGCAAAAGAATCCTTGAAATTAATAACCACAGTTTGTTAAACGAGTCCAATAACCGAGGTCCAATGACTTCTGACAGTTTACCCTCAGCAACTAGCAATTTCTTTAAATTTGAAAGACTTCTCGTTAATAAGAACGCGGAGAAGACCGCGGCAAAGTTGAAACGGCGGGTGGGTGGGCGGGTGGTTGGGAGGGGGAAGAAGAATTAAACAAGAAGCGAAGCTTCATAAACAGGGAATCTGCACAAATATCAAACTCAATCAAAGACAAAGAATCCTCGTTTAGGAGGGATCATCGAGTTTCAAGCGCAACGCGCCCGAACCAAGGCGCCCAGGGGCATTAACATCCTCCTCTCGCGGACTTTGAACAAACGGAAGTCATCGTCCTCGCCGCGGCGGAAGAACGGTCGGGAGGCCGGGATCGAATTCTCATTTCGCGAAAGAGAAGGAAAACGCGGGCATGTGGAAGGCGAGACGGGGTGAACGCACCCCTTTCCAGATAGCTTTCTAGAATTCTCATTCACGGGCGGCGAGGATCGTTTCCTCAGCATCAGGCAGTATTTCACCGAAATCGTTCGTCGTTCTCCTATTTCGTTTTCATCCGGGGAGGGGAGGGGGGGGGGGGGGCACGCGTTCATCTCCGGATGAAATTCCATTGTTTGTTCGAATTTCACCGCCTGATTCCGAGGTGAAATTTCGGAATCGCCTTTTTTCCTCTCTCTCTCTCTCTCTTTTTCACTTTTTATTTATTTATTTACTTTTTTTTTATCAACACGCTGACGAGTTCGATTTTTCGCGCGTTGATAGAGCACCGCCGGTTGATATTTTCGGTGGGAACATGGTCGTTTCACGGTGAATTAACTCGAATTAGTGCCACGTTGATGCCGCGAGATGGATGGCTAACGATATAGATATTTCATTGCGCGATTGTGGAACCTTTTATCGTTTAATTGACGATCTTCGACGCCACTGATTATTCACGTCCAATGTTTGCGGCGTATAATATGTATGTAATACGTATGTAAAACTTACGAGTCTCCGTAAATCTCCACGTACCAATATATTGTATCGAGACACTAAGGATTAGCTATAGAAGTAGAAAATAAGAAAGATTGTAAACCGGAAGCTATCCTAAGCCGCCTAGGCAAGAATTATATATAAATAAATATGTTGTATCGAATCGTATTCATTTTAAATTTAATTTTATATTTTCCAGATGTCAAGAGCACAAATGGAATATTTAACACGTTAGTTTCTTTCTCTACTAGATTCAGAATCATATCTCACTAAATTAATTTCCACTATTTTCTCATCATCCGGTGGCAAAGTGTTTAAATGAATCGAGTAAATTAAACTCGATCTGACGTGCAATAAAAAATTCCACAAGTATAATATAATAATACTTTACGGTCGAAATATCTCGCGAAAATTTTCATGATCCACACGTGAGAACGAAATTTCCTCGTAATTTTCCTCTTATGGGATCGATCAGCTCGCGACTCGTCGATGAACAGATAAGTACGTAGCAGATTTAGGCGGAACGTAATCTGATTAATGATTAACGATTATGATTGGGAGTAAGGCAAGTGATTAAAATTATTGTAAAAGTTATAATTAATTTAATCAGTAACGAACGAGGGAACAAGGCAAGCAATTAAAAGATTATAATCGTTAATTATAAACTGATCGCGATTTTCATCGTGATTGCATCGACGGTTCTATCAACAATACCGCGTATATTTTGCAGAAACTACATTGTTCCGCAATCCTGCAATTTCATCAATATTCGTTCGAAAATGTTCAAAGAAATTTTGAAATTCTCCATCACGATATCACATATACGTAGAATTATATTAAATTTTGACAAATTGTTGCAAAAATGTTGTAAATTTTACTCTAAATTGTTGCAAGACCGTGACGAAGATACGAAATTAATCACGGCACATCGTTGATCACGAATAAAAATATTACAGATTATAAAAATTATCGACCGATGATTTCGTATGACAAAATAATTAATATATAATTTATTATATTAGATATCATATTTTTATATTTATATTTATTTATATTAGATAAGTAATTTATCACAGAATTTAATCAGCTGATTTGTTTACAGCTTACTTTATGATTGATCGAGCAACGATCGCCGATCACCACGTCATCGTATTTAATAATTGATTACCGCCCAAGTCTGTACGACGCGTGAAACTTTCGGTAACGTGGCGTGCAGCAGCGACTCGATTTCCGAAACGCGTCACCGATCCGTAGGACGAGGAATGAACGATACACGCGACACCGTACGATCGTTCCCGATAATGTCGATCGTGGAGGATGTCATTTGCCGGGCGCGGTGGTTCGCCGCGAGACGTGTGTCGGACGAGCAGAAATCTTTCCGGAAATTGCCGTGCTGGTCTTGGAGCAACGTGGGGGGTGGGGCTTGCTGCTCATGTACCTAGGGTGAAGCGGCTCGAAATTGCAATGCAAACTATCATAAGAGCGGGAAGAAGATAAACGGACGTGCACACGCACACACGCACGCACGCGCGCGCACACCGACGAAATAAATGAAAAAAAAAAAAAAAGTGGTGTGCGCACGTTTCCATACGATGGATTAACGATCGACCCTTTCTTTTTTTTTTTTTTCTTTTTTTTTTTCATGTAAAGTAACGTCGATGGCTGGTATCTCGAACTGCAATACTTGCTCGTCTCTCTCTATCTCTTCACTTTCTTTTTTTTCATTTCGTCTCTTCTTTTTTTTTTGTGTGTGCAATTGTTTCGACGCGCGACTTTTACGCAATCGAACGAAGCTGTTAAATTGAAAAAGCGCGATTGCACGAGCTGTCGCACGAGCTTTTTAAAGTGTTTGTCGTTTAATCTGATTTGTATATATGAAAAGAAAGAGAGAGAGAGAGAGATTCGTATCGATCATTCGGGGATAAAAATTTGATTAGCTAATCCCAGCTGCGCGATATCTGTATCTCGTCTTCTCTTCGTGTTTGAAACGCGAATTTCGTTTTAACTTCGCTGGGCGAGATGGAGTTTCTTACCATTCAGCCGCGTTCGCCGAATGACGCAACGTTTCAACTATCTCTCCTCGATTTCCAGCGACGATTTTAGCTTGTTCGTCAACGTTAACGGGAAGCGATAATAATTGAGTTATCAGCCACCGTGTTTCGTTCTTTCTTTCTTTCTATCTTTTTTTTTTTTTTCCATCACCTGATCACCGAAAATATCTTCGTTGCGCGAACGAAATTACGTGGGAATGCGAACGTCGACCTCGAACAAACCTGATGAATTTCAAATTCGACTTACCTTTGGAATCGTCTGGTAAAATCGTCCGATCGTCTCAGGGGAATAGAAAAGAAAACTAACTACTAACTACTGGATGTGACCATTTAATGAAACTGATGATCGTTCGTTGAGAAAACGCAACGTAGATAATTTAGGTGATCGCGGGGTGAACGTGTGGACACGATGCACAGTCGTAACACACTTTTAATTGAAAGGGTCGAACGAAGGGGCACGATGATGATGACGATGATAATGTTACATGACAAAATCGCGTTTCTAACCCTTCAACGCACAAGTTTCTTCTCGATTAGTGGAAAATGAGATCTCAACGACAATTTAAAACACGGTTACAGCGAGTTCGCGTGATCCACTTGGTCTCGTTTTAATCCGCGAAATCTTTATTTTGACGATCGCGAGTTCGTTCTCTTTTTTTTTTTTTTTTTGAGAATGAAAAGACAGCGAGGATACTTTTCTTTCTTCATGAAAATTGGAAAAATTCAAACCGTCTGTAGAAACTTTATTAGATCCGCCATTATTTTAAAGATTGAAGTCTCCTCGTAAAACTAGTTGCACAGCTTTGTTTTCACTATTTCATTAAACATTGAACGTACGAAGAGTTTTGGAAAGAAATTTCAATCGTCAAGACTATGGACGGGGAAAAATTTTTCTTACAGTTGTTGTCGGAATTTTTCAATATTTTAAACAACAGAAGAGAAAAGTACGTAGAATTTTCAAAAAGAACGAGTGTCAAATTTTAAAGCTTCGCGCTCTAAAACGAGATCAAATGAATTTTTCGTTTTTCATTCTAAAGTTACACTTTAATTAAAATTTAAATTATCGACAATTTTTCACTGATTACGCTCTACTCGCTGTCACACGGCAGTATTGGATGACATTTGAGTTCACAAGAGTGAACAAACACGAGACAACCATCACCGAATCAGACGTGCGTTGAACGGCCGAAACGAATGACGTTATAAAAGAAACGACAACGTCGTGTAAGCAGTTTGAGGAACGTTGGGATTACCTTCAGCCTGTTCTACGGAACCAGCAGACGATTGGTTATTCTCAGCTTGGTTGGCGAGGGTGTTCAGCTCGTGACTTTGACGAAGAACGGAGACACGGTAGAAGTAGTTACGCCAGAAGATTTCTTCAGATATTCTGCAGGGCACAGAGTAAAAGTGTATTAATTTAAGGGCGTGAATTCGTCTCGAGTCTTGATACAGAGGAATCATCATTGGTTTCCGATTCGCCTATAATCGGACGCCACGTTGGAAATTGCCAATTAACGCCAGCCACCGCGGACTGATTTAATTTAGACTTGCGGGTAAATAAATCGATTCGTACGTAGAAACGTATGTGGGAATGTGTGTATCGGGCCATTACTACCCTTGGCAATTAGAGACTTCGCTTCCTGAACCATCATCCTCTGGGAATTTCCAGAGACGTTGGATTTGCGAGAGATGTGTACGAAGTTACAGGCTAGATTACGTTGGAATATTTTATAGTTGCAGTCAACGTGACGTAGTTCAGAGTTGTACGAGTGGCGAAGGTTTAATATCACGACCGAGCTCGTAGCTCGTGCGAATGTCGATCACTTAACGATTGAGCACACGTGGGAGAAACGTATGGTATATAATTGGATAGAAGAAGGTTATTTGGTTCACAAGTTCTCTCTAAAGACAGATAACTTATTCCGCGAGTTTATCGAAATGAAATGTTTTCGGAGTTGCAGTTGCTGTTTTTTTCTTTTTTTTTTTTTTGTCGAATCTTGAAGTAACCGGCCATAACTCTGTGTTAATTTCTTTTCTGTTGAACCAAGTTAGTTTGAATCTTCAATTCATTACGATAAGAATATCAATAGTAGGAAGATGATTCCACGGACGAAGAACCGATCTCCCTCTTGTGTTATTTACGAGAAAAGGAAATTTGGTAACAGGCCAAGTATAGATGAATCTGACGAATTCCCGATTGAATGCTTTTTAAAATAGGCGCCCGATAAACTGCTCTATATGCAGAAATAAATCAGAAAGTAGAACGTATCAAGTATTTGGTGATGATTTGCAAATGTGAATATAGTTATATTATAGTTTAATAATATAAAATATTATAATAATATTATAATAAAATATTAATAATTTATAATATATAATATATTATAATATATTAAAATATTATATTTAATATTATAATATATAATTTATAATTTACAATATTTTATAATAAAATATTATAAAATATAAAATATTAATATATATAATTATAATATTATAAAATATAAAATATAAAATATAATATTATAAAATATAAAATATAAAATATAAAATATTATATATATATAATTTATAATATTATAATATTTTATAATAAAATATTATAATAATATTTAATAATATAAAATATATAAAACATTAAAATATATTATAGTTTAATAATATAGTTCACTTTTTTTCATAAAACTAACTCATCTGAAGAAATGATTAAAAAAAGAAATATATATGTATATATATATTTGTAAATAATTTCCATCAATGCTATAAATCACAACAATCCTCTCCGTTTTTAGAAGTACTTAGTGGTTCATAATGCGTCATAATTTGTCCGCAAATTTGGATACCTCTAGACGAAAGTTAGAGAGGAGAATTCCTCTTGGGAGGATTTTGCAGGGATTCTCTCTTCGAGAATGCTTCTGATTCCTTTTGCTTGTGGAGATGAAGCACAGTTAAAGCAGAGTTAGAGGCAGAGAATTCGAGTTAATAAATTTCGCGAGGTAATTTGTATGCCGCGTTTGTTTGTAAAAAGCTAGTTTAATATTGTCGGAATATTATCCACACCCTCTTTAGAATTTCGTTTGTTGCTCGTTACCTGGTCATTTAACTCGAGTTAGAGCACGGTGTACGGTAATTATCATATTGCAAATGAAAGCTCAGAAGTGTGGACTTTATTCGATTACACGCGCGTTTCAACTGTTTATTCAATTGTTCATTTATTTATAAACATATATATGTACGTACAAAAGTTAATAGCAGAAACAACACAAGTGTATTTCTCTTTGTGTTGTCAATCAAACTTGCCTCGTATTCGGAAGTAAAAATTTATTAAAAAATAACGATTTCGACCGATTAATCAGATTGAATTTCAAAGTTGTGGAATGCCCTGTTAATTTCTCTCCCGCTAATCGATATTTATAATTTCGAACTCGCCAAGTCTCCACTCGTCGACTACCTAAAACTGTTGCTACCTATACGAATGAAATTTCGAAAGTTGGGAGTAGTTGAACGACATTTCGGCGGAAAATTACTTACACTTTCGGTACAAGCTGAAATCGCATATTCTCTAAGTTCGGATCGAGAGCAAGAGTGGCTTGGGCCATAGGCTGCACGGCTTCAAAGTTCCATGGGAAGTCGACTTCCTTCGGTGGTGATTTCAGGAAGTTACGCTGGTCCTGAAATCAACGTTCCCGTTTGTTTTCAAATTCCTTCGTCACTTTGTCACGCCCACGCGCCATTCAAATCGACGCCTCAAACAGCTCAGAAATGAAACAACCAAAAGGAACAATCTGCCAAGACATCGACATTTCAATTCTTCCTTTCGAGCGATTTAAACGATCAGAGTTTACTCTTTTAATATCGAGAAACTATGGAAAGGAAGTGTTCTCTTTTTACATATTTTCTGAATTCTAGAATCGCAAAAATATCTTTCTTATTTACTTATATCCTTTAATTTTGTGTCATGATATTTTAATACTCTTTCGTCGTTGTGTCTTCACCTAAATTCTACAATTTCATGAAATTATAGAAAATACTTTTCTTATCTTTTTTGTATGCTTTATGTCATATATTCTATATATGATATTTTAATACTCTTTCGTCGTTGTGTCTTCACCTAAATTCTACAACTTCATGAAATTATACGCTATGGAAGAAAATACGTTTCTTATCTTTTTGTATGTTTTCTATGTATGATATTTTAATACTTTCTTTCGTCTGAATTCCACAACTTTATAATAAAAGAAAACATGTCTTTTTCAGTTTTACGTTACATATTCTACGTACGATATTTTAATACCTCTTTCACCAGTAAGATTCTGTCTGAATTCTATCATTTCACGAAATTCAACGAAACTGAAGTATTTCTGGTATTATGATAAATACTTGCTTGGTCCTCAATGGGTTAGGTAAACGAACGTAGAGTTTAAAGACGACGAAAGCTATCTTCAGCTAAGTGCTCTGCTTAAAAGATATTTACGAGTTTTAGCATATACTTAACAGATCAACGAAAGAGATCCCTGCAGAGTTAACGAAATCGTTGTTCCAAAAAGTTCAATTAAAGAAGGATCGATTTAGTTTAATAGAACAGAGGAGAGGAGAACAGTTGCAACCTCAGTGATCGCTAATCGTGACATGAACGTAACTAACATTATAAAATACAATTAACATCTGATCTAATCTCTGTCTACAACGAGTGACTATGACTCACTGTTGCAACAAAGTATTTAGAATACTTTTAATTTAACATTGAAAAACTTTTAAAATAAACTATTACTGCGTGAAATTATCAGACTGCCAATTTTTTATATACAACTTCGTTCCTTTCTATTTTTTTTAGTTCGTGTAATATTAAAAGGCTACTTGAACATACCAAAACGTGCTAGAGGCTTTATTTTTTCGAAATTACAACGAGAGTTCGCAAAAATTATTTAATTGGAGCAATTAGAGCAACATGAATAATTTCATCGTCAGTTTCAATACTTTGATTCAATAATCTGAATGATTATATAAATCGTTATATATTTAATGATTTGCCTAATTGCAATGTTTAAATGATGCCACGCGATGCACCTAATCATAAACGTGGTCATTAATTTCAAACATATCACTCACGTCACTGTTGGAATCATTTATATCAATCGAAACGTTCGAACGTGCAAACTCTAATATTTCTAAAAATCGACTGACCAACATTATCGTTGATCGTAAATTTCTAATCGAAAAATTTTAATCCCTTATATTTCCTGTGGGAATGAGTAATTGTATCTGATAATGTCATCAAACTGACACGATGATTTCGATGATATACACGGGCGCGCGAGTTGTCACTCACAAGGTATTATTAATTCGCGAATCAAATTAAACATTTGCATAGCTATGACCATATGTGTACATCATCGCGTGATATCAATCGGCCCGTCTCGAAAACGCGTTGGATGCCAATCGAACTGAGGATTCGACTCTTCATCTATGTCTGCATCAATTCGTCAATCATACTTTTTTAAGAAAACGATGAAAACTCGTGTATTTTTGCGAAGAAAATTATTAGAAAAAAAAAACAAACAGAAATTATCGCGTAATCTCAACATTTTCATTACAAAGTTATATACGATTTCTTTTGCATTTCAAATTTCCTTTATATCAATTTGATTTCATAAGCAATTTGAAATTTGAAATATCTCCCGGCATTTTCATTGCAAATTTATTCTATTTCTTTTATGTTCTTTTATATCACATTTATTTTTTCTCTTATTGTCGAGGTAAACCGTGAAGATTGTATTAAAATATTAAATTTTGTAGATAGAAAATTCTTTTCCTTCTGTCTATTGTCAAGGCAATTGCACATTTTCACGCGTTTGCAGAAAATTCTTAAACTGCAAAATTGCACAAATATATAAAACATCCAAGCCATAATACATTCTACGAATATTTAGTAACGTAAATCAATTTTTCTATCGAAATTCTATCGTTCAATTCTATCTTTCCTTTCATAAGCAATTTGAAATTTGAAACATCTCTCGGCATTTTCATTGCAAAGTCACTCCATTTCTTTTATATCAAACTTATCAGTTTCCTCTCGCAAATCAGAAGTAGAGATTCGATGTGTACTGATGCATGCAAATGCATAATTTTTCCCAGCGGAAAACACCATGGTTGCGACCATCTTCAATCCTCTGAACGTCTCACGATCAGTGAAAAGAAAAAAAAAAAAAAAACAAGATTCCTTCACTAAGTAGAAAAAGGATAATGCATCACGACATATTGTGTCGGAGGATCACGTTTAAACGCGAACGGCGTTCCACAATCAGCTCTATATCTTGCGTGAATTCAGCACGAATCCTCTCCATAGAATTTCTGATCCAACGCGCGATATAATATCCACTCGAAACTCGCGGTGGGGAATAGGTCATTGTGCGCCAGGTGAATCCAATTGCGAGATACTCACCGGCTCAATCTGCTTCTGATTTTCGCCCGTGTGATTGGCTTTTCAGCCGTGTGCCACGTGTTTGTTGTACGCTCTAGAACAGAAGCGTGGCGCTCGGCCACGGCGAGCAAGCGTAAAGAAGGAATTTACTCACTATTGACAGAGACAAGCACTCTTCGCGCAGCACGTCCTCGTTCGGGGCACCGACCCACGGTGCCACTGCCTCACCCTTCTCCGCGCTCTTGCTGGCGATGAAAGCTTCCTGCTCTTTGTTTAGCTCGGCAACCAATCTCTGCAATTGCATTAAATCCGCGTTAGAGAGCAGCTGTCGCTACGTGAAACACAGCGGAGAGTCTGCGGTTTGTGTTGTATGAGTGTGTGTGTATTTGCTAGAGGCTACGCCACAAGATAGAGAGCAATTAACGGTGTCATCGATGGGTACCATGCCACGCTAGCGGTTAAAGCTATTTCCGACGCTATACGCGACAAGTTTCTCGCGGTGAAAAGCGGACAGAGAGGGAGAGAGAGAGAGAGGGTGAGTTCGTTCACCCCCCGTTGGTTAATTAGATCGTTCTTATCGTATTTTCGTCGATAACCGCCGCGACCCGCCGCTAAGATCTTATTGATCACGTCGCCAACCAGCCAGCCAGCCAACCGGCTGGATAATACGCTGAATTTAGAAGCAGGGAGCAGAAATAGCTACCGTCGATTCGATTAGAATGAAAGGGGAGATAATTAGCTCCGTTGTGCGGATCGTTATTTTCTGAATTTTCGGAACGTCTGGCTTGGACTTGGCGAAACTGGACGTGGACGATGGTTGAATAGAGGATGATAATTGGGTGTAAGTTGTAATTGAAATCTGGCACACCCTGTTTGGTATATTTAGCGAGAGGGCAAGTTCTGATTGGATTGGAAATTTTTGTAATATTGAGACTTGGAATGTTTCTTAGGATTTTTTATAAAGGGACAAGCTCCAGAGTTTATATTTTGTATTTAATTGTAATATAATTATATTGTTATAAGTTCCAGAGTTTATTTAATTGTAATACAATTATATTATAACGTCAGTTATAAGTTCCAGAGTTTATTTAATTGTAATACAATTATATTGTTATAACGTCAGTTATAAGTTCCAGAGTTTATATTTGTATTTAATTGTAATACAATTATATTGTTATAACGTCAGTTATAAGTTTCAGAGTTTATATTTGTATTTAATTGTAATACAATTATATTGTTATAACGTCAGTTATAAATTCCAGAGTTTATATTTGTATTTAATTGTAATAAAATTATATTGTTATAACGTAATAATAATACAGTATATTATTATTAATGTAAAATTTATAATTAATCGTAATATAGTAATATATTAATGTTATATTTGTATTAATTATAATATAATTATATTGTTATAACAATCATATTTGTTTTGTAATGTGGTTGTTCTTTCTCAGATTTGAAATATTTTGTAGTAAGTTGATAGAAACAATAAGTGCGAAAATTGGAGTAGAATAGGGACAAGAAACCCCATAGTAGAACACTATATTCCTACTTATTTTTGTTTCAACTATTACCTTATTAATGATTTTTGTCATAAAAGGTCCAAGATTTTTAGTAATTCATTCAGATTAATTCAAAATGTTTGCTGTATCAATAAAATTATATTTTATTTCTGCTTCTTTCATACCATGTCCTATTTCTATTTTCTGTTAATATATTTTATCATGAAAAGTCCAAGATTTTCAGTAGTAGATTTATTTCAGTATCTAGATTTATTCAAAACATTTGTTGTATCAGTAAAATTATATTTTATTCTTGCCTCTTTTATATCATGTTCTATTTCCATTTTCTGTTAATATATTTCATCATGAAAAGTCCAAGATTTTCAGTAGTACATTTAGATTTATTCAAAATGTTTGCTGTATCAATAAAATTATCTTTTATTTAAGTTCTTCTGTTATATTATTATCTAATATATTACTAATACTTTATTAGTATTTCTTATTAATTCTTTATTAATACCTTTTATCATAAAAAAAGTCCAAGATTTTGAATAGTATATCTAGATTTATTCTCTAGATTTGTTCGTCGTATCAATAAAATTTCTAATCACTTTAAAACAGTTTCTACTTTTGCTCCATTTCGTTTCATTCTGTATAATATACATGGTAATTTTACGCAGGATCGTAAATGCATCTAATGTCAAAGAGTCAACAAGCTAAATTTCCAACAAAGTCCAGCAAGAAAAAAAAAAAAGAAGAAAAATATTCTAATTTTATAGGAGTGTTTCTTCGAGAAGCCGGATTAATCACTTCATTAAGAGCTACTTATTCCCGGAATTACGGTCGAGAAGCTCCGCCGGTGTGAAAATTTTCAAGTGTGGTGGTTAAATAAATGAAGTTAAAAAAAAAAAAAAGAAAAAAAGGAACGAAACACAGCGTGCAAACAGAATGGGAGACAAGAGGTAAGCATGAAATTCGAAGCGACAGGAGGTACACAGTGAGACGAATGGGGAGGATTGTGCTAAGAACGAAGAAAAATGGACGAGACCCGGGATATAGAGCGACCGAAAAGGATTAGAGGCGAAATGTTAGAGCTAAATCTCTATCAGACTAGCTTCCTTATTATCGTTCTAGTATTTAGGTCAACGAAGTTCTTGACGATCTTCAATTCTCGACGAAACCCAATGCCAGCCCCGGGGAAAACGCGTGATATTACGCGGCAGATTTAAGGAAATCGACGTCGTTCGTCTGCTTCCGATGAAATTAGCCTCCTTCTATTATTGTACGATTGTCTCCGCTCGACAATCCACCGAGACAATCTCGCGCGAGGATTTCAATTTGGAACAAATAGTTAACTTGCTGGAGCTAAGTTGCGTTTCAAACGAACGAGACTTAGGATCTGCGATTTGCGATTTACGATTCTTAGATGGATTTTAATTGAAAGCGACTGGTAATCTAACGAAGTATCAAGTTCGGGCAGAAGAGGACAGAAGAGGAGTTAGAGATTGGCGAGACGGTCGATTTTCTCTGTTGGAATTTCTAAAATTTCCGCAGGAAGGATGACGAACGAAACGATTTCATTTTTCTCCATTAATATCGAGTATTACTTATGCAAGGGAAAATTAATATGTAATATAACTTTGCAGAATTTTATCAGATATGTTATCCTTCATATTTCATTCGAGAATATTAATATTTTTTCGTTCTGTTTGTTCGAAAGTTTTAATTATCGTCGAATCGAAGAAAGAAATAATTTAACTTTCTGAACATGACTGAAAAACCAATTGGAAAATCAGTGCATGCAAAGGAAATTAATACACCGAAAACTAACTTTTCGAAATTTTATAGTATATTTATTATAATACTTATATAATAATTTATTATAATATATAGTATTATATATAATATTTAGTATAATATTATATAGTATATTTAAAGTATATTATTCTTGATATTTCATTAAAATTTAATATTAGTTATCACTAGAATTCTTTTGTATTCCGTTTGTTCGAAAATTTTAATTATCGTCAAACCAGAGATTTACCCTTTTAAACACGATCGAAAAATCAATTAGAAAATCAGTGCATGTAAGGAGAATTAACACACCTATATAACTTTTCGAAATTTTATCAAGTACATTATCCTTGATATTTCATTAAAATTTTATTTAATATTAGTTATCACTAGACTTCTTCTTTTGTTCGAAAATTTTAATTATCGTCGAGCCAGAGATCTACCATTCCGAGCACGATCGAGAAACCAATTGGAAAAGCTACGTGAAGAACGCGTACAAACGAGATTCCGCTGCAAGACGAGATATCAGACGACAAGTACAAACGATTTTCAACTCTGACATCGTTATGCGAGGAAAAAAAAACTAAAGAGCCGCGGTGACCAGCGATCTCCGACTTTGCGAAAATCCAACTGGAGGGACCGCGGAGAATCTTAATGCATCCAAGATGGCGGCAGCCTGCGGCCAGGAATCGAAAAGTTCGAGCCCCCTTATTATCGCGTTCGAATTTGGGTCAACGAAGTTCTCCATCGAGGCATCGCCGTCGTGTTACCGACATTCTTCGTTAAACCACGACGAGTTCGCCGAGGGATCGATATTTTTGTTTCGAGCTTGAGGAGAAGTTAACCAACCACCGGTCTCTCGTCGTTGAACAAACGACTTTTGCCGCCGACAGAAATTACCACGAGGATCGAGCGCCACTGTTCTTTGTTTTTCTTTCTCCCCTAGCCTAGCAAACAGTAATCTCTGCTCGATTGTAATCTATTGCTCGTTAAGAGCACACCTGTGTAACGAGATCGTGCAAATTTCCTCGCCGATGCATTTGTCAGAGTGTGTCGGCCAGAGGTGAAAATGAAATATCGATAAATATGGAAGGCTCTCGATACTTTGTCACATCCGCGCTTTAATTTATTGCCAGATATTTTGAATATCCAGCTCTTTCGGAATTCGTTTAATGGAAATTAATGTATTTAGCACGTTGGAATTTTTTTTCCTACGTCAAACCTCGTGGAGATATAATATTTTTCGTATACAATATACGGGGAATTGTTTCATTGTGTAACGTAGATTGAATTTTATTCAATTTCTCTCGAATCTGATATTAGTCATTCTAAAAAAAAAAATCACCGATCGACGTACAAATACGAAACGAGTCCCGTTGAATAAGCGCGATCGCGGAACGGCGATAAAGAACGATTAAAATCGACTATCGGCGAAAGCCAAACGGAGGAGAGAGAGAGACGGATCAGAACTTTCAATTAGGAAATAAGCCTATTTTTCAATAAACCTATTTTTACGAGGCGCGCGGATATAGCGTGCACCGAGATAATCCTCGAATAAATATTTGACGACGAGAGGACGAACGTCATCCAGCAGCAGCGGCTGAAACGAAGCCGGAGTTATCGAGACAGTTTCGCCATATCAGACTTATCGCCGCCTCGGAGAGAATTAACTCTCGCTTTACAATTTCTCCGAAATCTGTCCATTCTCACCTAAGCCTCGCGCAGCCCCCGATACAAAGGGAAGATTTGGATATATTTCGCCGAAGCTGAATGGTGTTCCAGATGCGCGGAGCTCTGATCCCCGGGAACGTCAGAGAGAGAGAGAGAGAGAGAGATCGTGATTCTGGAATTCGCGCGCCCAGTGGCCCAGAAAACTCGGTGTATTTTTATTTCGCTGGGCAGGGGGTCGATAGGCGTCACACACGTCGCACACTTTTACACAATTGTGCACAGCGTATTCACTCGTCGCTTAGCGAATTTTTATAACCGCTGG